AAGTAACTGTAATACTAATAATGATAAGGCCCAAAGCAGTTATGAATGATCCCGGTGGAGATGGCTGCACAAAAAAAAAATGTGGCGATAAAGAAGGACGTCCAGCAGTTGTTGTTGAATAAGACGAAGGGCTATTATTCAACGGATGCTGGTGCGGGCAATTAAGAGAGAACCGCGTCCCCGCTGCTATGATGTCGGGGGGGGGGGGGGAATTCCCAAACAGAGCGAGGAAGGGGCGCCGGAGGGGACTCGCGTTTGTTTTATGTGAAATATAATTAGTTGTCAGTGGTCTTGCTATTTTTTTGGGGGAGTGGGTGGATGGGTGGGGGAGGGCTGGACCGTGACGGGTGTGTGTTTGGATTTTTTTTTTTTTTGGGGGGGGGATGTGTATTCTGTTCGTATCTTTTATTTTTCCCTCTCTCTTTATTCGTATCTCCTTCCTTTCCTCCTTCCTCTTTTCCCTTCCCTTTATCTCTCTCCCTCTTCCAGTCCCCTCCTTTCCCTTCTATTCCAAGCCTATTCCACACTTCCACCCCTCCTTCATTCTCTCCCTCCCCTTTCCTTCCCTCTCTTCCTTCTCTTTTTCTCCTCCTTACCTTCTACTATTCTTGCATCCTCTTCCCCTCCTTACCCTTCCCTTCCTTCCAATCTTCCCCCTCCCTTCTTCCCCTCCTTCCTTCCCATCTCCTTCTTCCCTATCCTCCCCGCCCACCCCCGTCCACGCCGGCAAAGCACCATCGCGACACCGCGCCCGGCACCAGATGCAAAAATCTCGGCGGACTAAACTGTTACCCAGGCTAATTCTTCGCGGTAAGGCCAAGGGCGGAGGAGGAGGAGGAGGAGGAGGAGGAGGAGGAAGAGGAGGAGGAAGAGGAGGAGGAGGAGGAGAGGAGGAAGGAAGGAGGAGGAGGAGGAGGAGGAGGAGGAGGAGGAGGAGGAGGAGGAGGAGGGAGGGAGAGAGGAAGAGGAGGAGAGAGAAGAAGAGGAAGGGAGGAGTAAGAGGAGGAGGAGGAAAGAGGAAGGAGGAGAGAAAGAGGAGGAGGAGGAAGAGGAATGGGGAGGAGGAGGAAGAGGAGGAGGAGGAAGAAGAGGAGGAGGAAGAGGAGGAGGAGGAAGTAGGAGGAGAGGAGAGGAGGAGGAGGAAGAGGAGGAGGAGGAGAGGAGGAGGAGGAAGAGGAGATGAGGAGAAGAGGGAGGAGGAGGAAAGAGGAGGAGGAGGAAGAGGAGGAGGAAGGAAAGAGGAGGAAGGAGGAGGAGGAGGGAGGAGGAAGAGGAGAGGAGGAAGAGGAGGAGGAGGCCGCAGGAGAGAGAGGACGCGATCTCATCCGCGCTCGAGAGGTCGGATGGGGCGGGGGTTGGAGGGGGGTATGTGTGAAGGGTGGTGGGGTTTGAGGGAGAGGGGTGGGGATTGGAGGGTGGTGGGAGGTGGGAGGTGGGTGGGAAGGGGTAGAAGGGGGGGGAGGTCGTAGGGTGTTGGATAGTGGGGGTGAAGGGTGGTGGGGTTTGAGGGAGGGGGGTGCAGGTGGGGTGGGGAAGGGGTAGAAGGGGGAGGGTCGAAGGGTGGTGGGTGGTGGGGTTTGAGGGAGGGGGGTCGGATGGGGGAGGGGTGAGAGGAGATGGGAAGAGGGTGGGGTGGGGGTGGAAGGGGGAGGGGTATAAGGGGGGAGGGTCGAAGGGTGTTGGCTGGTGGGGTTTGTTCTTCCTCTTCTTCCTGAATTTTAGATTACTGATTTATTTTTATCTTTTATTTCTTCTCATATTCATACTGCTTATGTAATGCGTTTGGATTTAAAGATCACGGAGATTAATCATGATGTAAAGGATCTTGCTAGTTCCGTTAATTAATCCACCCCCCCTCCCTTCTCTCTCCGTCCCCTCCCCATCTCTCTCTCATCTCATCTCATTCTCTCTCTCTCTCTCTCATTCACTCTCCTTCCCCCCGCGCGGTCTTTCCTTCTCTCTCTCTATCTCATCTCTTCTCTCATCTCTCTCTACTCTCATCGTCTCCCACACTCTCTCCTCTTCTCTGCTTTCTCCCTTTCTCCTCCATCCCTCTCCTCCCCTCCATGCTCTCTCTTTTCCCCTCTCCCCTCTCTACTGTCTCCGAGCAGCCTCCTTTCCTGCCCTCCCTCCCTTCCCTCACTACTCTCTCACGTATCAGCCCTCTTCTCCCTGCCTCTTCACCTCCCTCCCTCTCCCTCTCCTTCCCTCTCCCTCTGCCCGTCTCCCCCTGCGATCTCTCTCTCATCTCCTCTCTCCTCTCATCTCTCGTCTCTCTCCTCTTTCATCCTCTCTCTCTCATCTCATCTCTCTCGTCTCACTCTCATCTCTCTCTCTCTCTCTCTCCCATCTCTCCATCTCCCTCTCCCTCCTCCCCTCTCCCTCTCCGGCTTCTCCCTCCTCCCTCATCCCTCATCCCATCTCCCATCTCCCTCTCCCTCTCCCTGGTGTATGTGTGTTGTGTGTTGTGGTGTGTGGTGTGTGTGTGTGTGTGTGTTCG